GCCACAGCAGGCCCAATCTCAGGAATGGGGGGGGAGCTTGCCCCTCCATTCCCCTCAGCCAGCACCCTGCGCCGCCATCTCCAGGGAGCAGGGTGGGGGGAGAGGAGGGCACTCGCCCCTTCCACCCACTCTGTCCCTGCTGTAATGGCAGTGCACCACTGCCTCCTGTCCCTTGTTGCACTCTGATTGGCTGCTGAGACAACCAAACAACGTGAATAAACTTAGACAGACAAAGACGTGTATGTATGTATGTAAGTATGTATGTATGTATGTATGTATGTATGTGTATATTATATATATATATATAATGGGTTAACCTATTTAACCCATTTAAAATGAAGGAAATACCTTCTATTTTAGAATTTAATGCAAAGGTAAGCCTTCAACTGTATTTAAAAAGATGGCAGATCATATTGTTACAAGAGATGAAGTTATATACATGATTGCTGTGATTGTAAAAGGAGAGCTGTTTGAAGTTTGGTGTCATACAGTTCAACTAGTTAGTGCTTTAGGGTCTCCTTTTTTAACTTTATGTATCGTGAGCACTTGCTAGGTCACTTCTTTCTCTCTCTCTTTTAAACAACATTTCACTTGGGAGGCTTTGGGCATTGCTGAGGGCATTTTTGTTTCTTCATAACCAGGTCAGTATGAGAAGAGAGGTGAAGGACATTTAATCATATTGACCATGTACAGACAGAGTCCACTATTATTTACCGGCCATGACATTATTATCCTCCAGCAAATCATTTAGGCTGAGAAGTGAAAGGCCTTTGGGAGCAGTATTCCCAACTTCAAAAATATGAAACAGCAGGTAGCAATCACAGCGCAGTTCCTGGGAGTAATTCTTTTCTAGCAATTGCTTTGCCCTCTAATCGTCCCAATTGAGAGAGGGGGTGAGTTAGGGAGGGAGAGAGAGAAAGAAGGGAAAGTGTGAGCAGTGTAATGGCTGAAAAATAATCTGTGTGCAACAAAGAAAAAAGCGATATTTGTAAAGCTGTGTATCCATTACAAAAGGCATGCAAGAGTTTTGTATTATTAGTCTCTTGAACATCTGTAACTAGTTCGAATTTTTTTAAGATGTTTATTTTAATTGTACTATTAATGAAATAATATGTATTCTTGACGGTACTGTTCTTTGATTTGTAATTTCCCTGAGGTTAAATCCAGATGCATTAAAGTCTGTACCCAGTTTAATACAACGTGGGTTATGGAAGGCAGCTATGAAGGAAGATTGTCTTCCGAGGAAGACACAAAACTTTCAGCTTCACTGTTTCCATAGACTGTCATGCCTATGGGCACCAGGGTTATTATATCTATGAGAAAAGAGCATGTAAGTAATGAGCGGTGGGAAACCATTAGTATGCCTGAAATGGTTTAATGAAAGCTTGGATCATGACACGTCAGGAGCTGTTCTTATCATTTGGACAGCTCCATCTGCATCTTTAATAATTAATTCAGTTCAGTAGGAGTT